ACATTCATTTGTTTCTAATTATATTCCATTTAGTTCTTCTCTGTTGATCCTATCCTATTTTTGAGTATGCAAAACATTGACGTGATTCAAAAGTCAAAACTATACAAGAAAGTATATTTGAAGTATCATTCCCATATTTCCAAACTTCTATTCCAACCTACACCCTATAGCTAACCAATTTCATTATTTTAGTTTTATCCTTCGTTTCTTTTTGTGAAAATAAGCAGACACATGTATACTTTTGTATTTCTTCTCCTCATTTACCAAAAACATAATATATCCTATACACTTTTTTGCATTTGGGTTTTTTTTTTGCTTAACAGTATATCCTGAAAATCACTTCAAACCAGTTCATAGAAATATCTTTCAATCTTTGTTACAGCAGCATAGTACTCCATTGTATGAAAGTGCCAAAATTTATTCAACCAGTCTCCTACTTATGGGCATTTGGATTGTTTCTACTAATTTGATTTTCAGATTGTTGGGGGTGTATTTTCAAGGAAATTCATAAAAGTAGAATTGCTGGAATAAACACTAAATGTCCATGAGATATCTGCCACAGGTCGGGTTTCCCAGGGAGCCAACTCTGAGATGGAGATTAGCAAGCAGTAGGTTTACTAGGGAATGCTCTTGGGACCCACAGCTGTGGGAGAGAATAGACAGAAATAAGATTAGGCAAAGGAAGGAATTACGCAGCTCTGATGTCTTGGTGGAGGCCTCAGCCAACCTTCTGGGGAGCTCTGTAGCTGGTGTGAACCTTCATAGTTAATTGGACTTGGGAGATGGGGCTGGGTCTTTATATCCTCACGTGGATCAGTCATTGGATGCAAGCCAGCTCAGGGAAGGGTGTGACCTTAGGTGAGCTGACTCTACTCAGCTGAGGTAATTCTTGTAGGAGGCTGAGAGCAAGGGCTTTTCTGCCAGCAGCACTTCTCAGTCCTGGGGAGAATCAGTCCTCCCTTCCTGAATGGGGTCTGGGCATTAGAGCATACATGACAGCCCCACTCTTGGGTTGAATCAACTGCTTTGTAGTAAGTTCTGGGAGCAGATCCTGCAGGATTCTGGTGGGCTTTTCTTCCTGGGGAACACTTAGAAGAGGAAGCTCGGTGAAACCAAATACAACCTCTGCCACTGCAGCTGGTCTCAGAGCTACAATTGATACTCAAAGTTCCCCTCACCGCCACCACCCTCTGCTAGTACCTCTGCTCTTCTCGGTGGCTTACCTGGTAACCTGACCCAGACCCTCATCCTGGAGGGGTCTGAGCCCCTGGTTATTATGCCCATCTCAAACCATGGCTGGTGCACTTACCATTTACCATCAAAATAAGGTAAAGGAATACCAAGAGGCACCCAAGTGGGTAATCATGGTGCCAAACATATTCTTCCCTGACCCCAAGGTAACAGCAGCCTTGCTTCCTACTGGTGATTGAGGTCAATTACCTCTGCCTGCTGGTCCCTTGATGTGAGGAACCCAATGTGTTCACATGGCAGCCATTGCGTATAGTTCAGTATGTCCCCTGGGAGAAGCATTCACCCTCAGAAATGGGACCTTCAACTCACAGAGCCCAGAAATGCCGGGACAGGAAGTACAAATTAATGGATCACTGGGAGGAATGTTAGGTGGAGCCCTCTTGCTTCTGCACCTTGATTCCCAGACCCTTGTATTCTACCTATTGGGAATGAAGAACCAAACACCAGTCATTGATTTAAAATTTATTCTGTGCTGTTAAGGATGGCACCCCATCCTTGTTAGGTATCCTTCTTGAGATGGCATTTCTGCAGTGCCTTTGATAGGTCCTTCCATCACTTTAATGGGCTAGCAGCTTCTGGGTGCTGTGATATGGGATATGACCAGTGGATCCTATGGTCACAGGCCCACTCTCTTTCCTCATCTCACCTCCTTGGCTGTAAAATGGGTTCTTGGTCTTATGCAACATTATTTGGGATTCCATGCCAATGATCAAACATTCTGATAATAGTGCTGGCTTAATATGTGTGTATACCCACCAAAATGCATCACTGTACCTTTTAGGCTGGAAGAGAATATATTAACAGTTAAGTATCTGGATTGTTTCCAGCTTGAGGGATGGTGTCATATTGGGGACTCAAGTGCTAGCGAGTTAGACATTTGGCATTGTAGTAGCTACGTTATCCTTGGTAAGTGGGAACCCTGTTGTTGGGCTCATGCATAGCCTCCAACCTTGCCACTATGGCTACTCCATTCATGTTGTCACTCAGCATTGGGAGGGCTGATAAACAGGCTGGCTCATATCAACTGACCAACTGCTTCTGTCCTCTATTTAGTGCCTTTTCCATTGCAGATATTCTTTGATGAGTATTAACAAAGGACACCTTGTGTCCTTTCCCATGGAACCACCCACATACATTATGTCAGACTTTCTAGTCCCCAGTCTTAGGATCTTTCTCCTTCCAGGTCCCTGACCAGCTGGCCAAGTCATTAACTGGTGCTCATAAATCCATGTATATTCTAATTTTGCCCAGCTTCTCAGTCCACAAAAAGCGGATAACCAGATGCATTTCTTGATGCTCTGTCCCTTCCCTGGGGACACTGGGAGGCCTTCTTCCTCATTCCTGTCTTTTAAAGCCATTCGAGTAGGGTTAGACTGCAGCTGCTGTCCATTTTCAGTTCCCCTACATACTGAGTTGATCCATCCATGAACCAAGCTCATGCTTTTTCCTTCTTCGTCAGCTGGTCCTAAATAGGATCTTTCATGCAGCCATAGGTGTCAGCTGAGGGAGAGGCACTTGTGCAACTCTAGTTGCTGACAGTGGGGGTCTGGGTTACCTGCTGGTGCAGCTTGCTTGTGCCCTTTGGTTCTGTGTATGCCTGATTTTGAAGGAACCACTTCCATCTCATGACAGACTGTGGCTGGGCAGATAGCACCATATGACATAGTAGGTCTGACAGACAGAACCTATCTTATGAAAGCTTCACAGTGACTTGGTGCAGAATTTAATTTCAGACAGTGTCCAGTAGCATGCCCAGAGTTATTTCTCAAAAGGTGTATAATTCGTTGACATTTGGCATGGCCTTGCTGAAGAATCTTAGGGGTTTGCATTGTGTTTCTCCCACCGGGGATTGTCATATACTCCTCAGGACATATTTCCCCTCCACTGATACCTCCGATACAATAGGATTGGCTGCTTGCACCACAGCCTGACCTGCTACAGAGCCCTTTCTTGATCTTGACTCCACTCAAAACTGGCAGCCTTCGTGTTACCTGGTATACGGGTTAAAGCTACATTCCCAGGGGTAATACATGCTGCCTCTAGAACCTGAAGAGGTATACCTAGCATTCTGCTTTTGTGTGTGTGTGTGTGTGTGTGTGGTAGGAGGTATAAGGTATAAGATACTTTTCTTTCTGGTTCCCACAACCTTCTTGCTTAAAAACCACCATTGCCTTTCCAATGTTCTTACGCTAGAGGTACCATCTTTCTAACTTCACTTAGAAGAGCCTGTATGTTCTGGTGCTATTTAAATATTCCCTGTCTTGCCACTCCCCATCTCTCAACAACATCCAGTCATCTGGAAGATCTTTCCATTCCTCCAGTTCACACTTAACTAAAACACCTTCAGACCTACCCCTCACTCCCACAGGTAACTCATCCTTAACTGTTCTTGTAGAGCTTAACTTAAACCTTAGCTATTGCTCTCTCCTCTGTCACCTGACTTACTTCCTAAACCTCTGGTGTATGTTCCCCCTGTAATCCTGTGACAAACAGAACTGATCACACTGCTTGCTGGGAAGAGCACAGATGGGCATGCAATCTCTAGTGTATGGTAGGTAGGTCCCCACTAATTACTGGAGAATGATTAGAGGAACTGGTTAAGCAGCCAAGGTCTTTTGATTAGAATCGATCCTATTTTATGTTAATGACAATATTAATCCAGGATTCTATTCTCCCCGCTGTACATTATTTACATTTGATCATGAATGAACGAATTATTGTTGACAGCAAGACATGTATTCAGCTTTCATAGTCGAAAATGTCAGACAAGGTATACGATAGGACAGATCTAAGTCATGCCCTCCCTGAGCTTTAAGCAACCAGGCAACTGTATTTGTTCTGAAAATCAGTAACTGTCCTATCAACGTTAACCCTCAAAGCACAATACCTTGTGTTCAACTGGCCTTGACCTCAAAGCACTTTGCAGGCACTTTTCATGAATTTAAAGAACGATTTGTTACCCAGAGGTGAGGGGGCCGGGGCAGGGACAGGTGCAGAAAATGCAAGAAATTGAGACACCCACAGCAGAAGAACTATATAGCTCACACTCCACTCACAGCTGAATGGGACCCGAGCTTTACGCTTCGGGAGGGCGTCTCCGCACCCCGGCCCCGCCTCCGTGCCCCGGCCCCGCCTCCGTGCCCCGGCCCCGCCTCCGTGCCCCGGCCCCGCCTCCGTGCCCCGGCCCGCCCTCACACTTCCGCCTGGTCCCGAGCCCCGCCTCCCCGCCCAGCCTCGCCTCCATTTCCCAGCCCCGCCTCCCCGCCCGGCCCTACCTCCACGCCCGGCCCCACCTCCATTTCCCAGCCCCCTCTCTACGCTAAGGCCGGTTCCTGAGCCCCGCCTCCCCGCACGGCCCTGTCGGTACACTCGGGCCTGGTTCTTAACCTCTCCCCTCTGCCCGGGCCTGCCCTCACACTCCGGCCGGCTCCTGGGCCCCGCCTCCATATTCCGGCGTCCAGCCCTCCCTTCCACGCTCCGTCACGGCCTCTAGCTCCACGCCCGGGCCAGGCTCTGAGCCCCGCCTCCATGTCCCCGTCCCAACTCCACCTCCTGGCTCCCGTCCTTTCCTTCCGTTAGCTCTACGCTCAGGCCGGGCCCTGAGTCCTGCCTCTCGGTCCTGGTCCCGGTTCCCAGGCCGGCATCGCGCCTCCCCGCCCCGACCCAAGCCCAAGCCCCTCCTCCACATCCCGAGCTGAGCCCCTCGTCCCGGATCCCGACACGCCTGCGGGGGCGGAGCTGCGCCAGGTGCGGGGCCCGGGGCGTGGCGGGCGTCTCGGGGCGCCAGGTGCGGCTTCCGCGTCAAGATGGCCGCCGCCCGCCGCGCGGGGGCCCGGCTCCTGCCACGCCAAAGCTCGCACCTTCCCGCCGGGGCCCCGCTGCTGCGTGTCGCCTTCTGCCTCCTGTGCTGGGCCCCGGCGGCTGTGGGCGCCGTCCCTGAGCTCGGGCTCTGGTTAGAGACGGTCAACGACGTAAGTGGAGTGTCGGGACCGAGGCGTGGCGCGTCTCGGGCCCTTAGGTCCCCATGGGCCGGGCCCCGGGATTGTTCGCTGGGCTTCTGGCGGGCCAGCCCCAGGTCCCCTAGTACTCTCCCCGAGCCTTTTGTCTGTTATGAGCAGTGGGCCGGAAGCGCCCCTTCTCCGGCTCGACCTAGGCTGTTGGGGAAGAATAGTCAAGAGTGCATGGGACGGCTCTCCCTTCTAAGCGCCCTCACTGTTCATGAGGATCACCATTCCCGAAGCCCTGGCCCCTCACTCTGCTCCGACATGTTCTGGCTAGACCAGGCCCTCGTTTATTCAGACCTGCGACCGGACTCTCTTGGCACACCTAGCAGCATCTTTGGGATTCGATTCCTGCTCCGCCCGATGCAGCCGTAGGGGCCACACCCGTGAGGCCGCAGGGAGGATTTTCTAGCGCTGCGTTTTAGCTTAAATTTAGAAAGCGCGTATGCCACTTCGGTTTTTTTCTTTAAATGAGAAGGGAACATGCAACAGTCATCCCACCCCTCTTTCTCTTTTCTTGGGTTCCTGAATTTCTCTACAGTTCGCATCACGGTTCCAGGACTGTGTGTGCTGGTGGGGCGGGATGTGTGATTAAGGAGTGCTGGAAAGGCAAGTCTGGAGGCATGAGTGGGTGGAAGCTCTTCCTTTCCAGGGCAGGCCATTAGAGAACTTGGCATCCAGAAGTTAGAGAAGATGATGTGGGAGGGATACAGGCGTGGAATTATGGAAAGTCTTGCAAAAGAGAGACAGGAAGTCTGGAAGAGGCATTATCTCCTGCTCTCTAGGGTCAGATGACTCATCTAGCTGTGTTGGGATGGGTATTTTCCACATAGATTGAAACGAAGTCCAAGTTCTAAAGGTGAGACTTATGTTTTGAATTCCTTAACCAAAAAAAGAAAGTAGTACCAAAGGTTACAGATACTTCCTACAACACAAAAGCTACTCAGAGGAGCAACTCAGGTATCTTTCTGGATCTTTAAGGCCTAGCACAGCCATTCCCTGCAGTCTTCTTCTTGGTTGGTGACCTATTTTGTGCACCCCTTATATAGCCTGCACACTTCCGTTATTGAATTTCTCTGAACAGGAAAAAGCAAAACTAAGTGAACTACACCCGTGGTTTCCGGCTGCTACTATAGTGAATGGATAATATAACAATATTGGAAGTGAATCGCCTCGTGCATATTGTTAGACTACTTGAGCATATCTGTAAAGATCTTTGCCAAGTATACTTTGGATAGTGAGAATCCAGAGTCCGTGGGGGAAGAATGAATTTGCTTCCTGCTTGAGAAAGACAAGTTTGTTCCCTAGGTGCTTCATAATCTTTATCAGGCTAACTTTACTCCTATATGACCTTGAGCCAGTAGAAGTCTAAAAGCCCTTCTTTAGAAAGAGTGGACTGATTTTTTCTAATTTGAGTTGTCAGAAATAGGAAGGGAAAATAGGGCTTTCTTTCATTTGTACTGCAAATCTATCAAGAAATGGTTCTTGGCCAGGCATGTTACCTCACGCCTCTAATCCCAGCACTCTGGGAGGCCGAGGCAGGAGGATCGCTTGAGGCCAGGAGTTTGAGACCAGCTGGAGCAAGAGTGAGACCCCATCTCTACCAAAAGTAGAAAAATTAGCCAGGCATGGTGGTGCATGCCAGTAGTCCCCGCTACTTGGGAGGCTGAGGCAGAAGATCACTTGAGTCCAGGAATTAGAGGATGCAGTGAGCTATGATGACAACACTGTACTCTAGCCTGGGCAACAGCGAGACCCTGTGTCAAAAAAAAAGGAAAGAAAGAAATGCTGCTTCTGATTGTAAAAGGCAGCAAGCAGTTTGGGCACCACTATGTGCCATGTGCTAGACTGGTCATTGCTGCTGGGAAGTTGAATTTCACACTTTCAGATACAGCACCTTTCAGGAAGCTCACACAATAGTAGGGACAACAGATTCATGAGTAGATAATTATGTACATGACAGCATACTTAGAGTATTTCTGGAGCCCCAAGGGGGAGTCTCCTAACTCTGCTTCCTAGAGGAGGTGCCTGCCTGGGTCTTAAAAGATGAGTAGGTGTTAACTTGGTGAAGAAGGAGGGGGGTAGAGCGGCAGTGCAGGAAATTCTTGGTGTTGCTGCTACATGAAGTTCTGGCAGAGGTATTAGAGGGGACTCAGGTCACCATAAGCCTTCCATGCCTGAATACGGCCTTGAGCCTGAGGCCAGGGGCCTGAAACTCAAGGACCTGTGCTAGCCAAGGCAAGTCATGTCATTGAGTGGAATGAACTAGGTTCAGGATGGAAAGGGTAGTGGGGAATGTGGTATACCACAGATCGCATGCCCTGTCTGAAGAGGGCAGCTGCCATTGAGCTCCAGCTTATTCTATGAGTACTCTATGGTAGAGTAGGTACAGGATTGCCATGTCTTCTTGTTTTTTTTTTAAGATTAAGCAGGAATCCATATTTTTATTATGGCAATTAAAAACTTTCAAACAACAGAAAAGAAGACCTCTTATGGGCCCAATAAACCCCATTTGTAGGTTGAATTAAACCCCCTGGCTCCTAATAGTTACTTTAGGATGTGAATGAGGGAGCTGTTGAAGGATTTTAGACAAAAACACTAATCACTTTGGCTGTAATCTAAAGACAAATTACAGGCTAAGGTCTGGAGGCATAGGTACCAGTTAAGCTATTACAGAAGTCTAGGCAGGAAATGCTGACGACCTGAATTGGGGCAGTGGTGGCAGCAATGGAGAGGAAGAGCTAAATTTGGGAGGTGTTTGTGAGGTAAAGTAGGCATACTTTGGGGATTGGGTGATGGAAGTGAGGGATTGGAAGGAGCCATGGCTTGGGTTACTGTAGCTGGTACCATCTTTAATCAAGGTGAACAGTATAGGAAGAGGTGGTGAGCAGAGAGGACTGTGTCTGGTTTAGGGCAGGTTAGTGTGGTATGTCTGTTAGGCATCACTGCATGTGTCCTTTAGGCAGATGGGTATGTGGATCTGGAGCTCAGAGGAAGGATCTGGGCTGGGAATTTTTGTTACTGTTGGGGAGGGGGAAGAGGTTACTGCTTGTCCTATCAGTGCTTTTATTTTTCCTTTAAATTCTTAATCACTTGTTCATTTGATGCAGTCCCTTCTCACAGGATTTTTATTATTGAGGGGATATTAAATAACTAATCAATTGTTGATTGTGGTAAGGGTTGCGAAGAATGGGCACTAGAGATTGTGCATAAGGGAGAGTCTGCCCTGGTGTGGGCCACAGTGGAAGAATTCCTAAGGAGGAGGCTTCTGAGTTGGGCTTTGAAGGATAAGAAGGAGCTAACTAGATGGAAAAAGAGATGGAAGGATTTTTAAGTAAATTTTCCAGTTGATCACTAAGATCCCTGAAGGCAGGAAGGATTGTGGTTTTCAGGAACTGAAAAAAAGTTGCTGGAGAGGTGGAAAGGCTTTGATTATTTGAGGTCGTATAGGCTTGTGGGAAGAATTTTGGTCTATTGTAATTGCATTGGTAAACCATAACAATTTGGGGCTCAGGGTAGGGGAGACTATTGTTTATCAAAAGTACATTGGTGTTGATACTAAGAGAGCAGCATGCAGATACACAGGTCATGCCATGTCTGAGTGGCACTAATCATGCAGTGGCAGCAGCTTTTACTTATGTGTTGATAGCCCTCGGCTAAGACTGCTAGTGGCAGGAGCCCCCTTGCTTCTCACATCAACTGTAGGGAGTAGACAAGTGGGACAAGGTTTTAAGCAAGTGGGTGATGTGATCAGGTTTACATTTTAAAACATACTCCGGTTAGAGGGAGGAGTGCAAGGATTAGAGCTCTATATGTTGGAGAGTAGAACTACTTGTAAATAATAGAGAAAAAATTTTTAACAAGATTTTTCTGTATTTGTTTTTCGTTTTAGAAATCAGGACCTTTGATATTTAGGAAAACTATGTTTAGCTCTACCGATATCAAATTTTCTGGTAAGTGTAATAAAATGGAATACTAATATAAACAAATAACAATGTGATCTATTATAAAAATGCATTGATGTAAACTAATGTAATAATTTTATATATATTAAACTAAGAAAATGTTTTGCTTTTAAGTGGTTCTGGCATGTTAAGGTTTTCTTTTGTTTCAGTCAGGATTTGGTTCTTTGCAAGAATAGATTTTTCTAGTCCTCTTTCAGAAAATATAATATGAATCATTCTTTAAAAATCATAATAAAAGTCTAATAAAGTAGGGCTCAGCAAAAAAAAATTTGGTTTCTGTGAAATTTAACTTTGAGTCCTAGATTTTAAAACTGATAAACTAATTTTAAAGTGATAAAGTTTAAAGTGAT